TGAAGCAAGGAGTCAATGTCCTGTGTGTCCTAGGCACAACAAGAGGCCAAAGCTCCAAGAGTCCAGAGTAAGAGCTGCATAGTCAAGTGCTCGGGGGGGAGGGGTGCTCTATAACAATGAAATAACTTTTTTTCCCCAAAGAAAAAAGAAACGAACTGGAGGCAGGGAGGAAAATGTGCAACAATGAATGAACGGAAATCCACGTTCTTTATAAACTTTCATTAACATGTTGTTGTTGTTGTTGTTATGTGCCGTCGAGTCGCCTGCGACTCATAGCGACCCTATGTACAACAGCCCTAAACTCCGCTCTGTCCTGTGCCAATCGCACTGTCTCTGACACTCCCATCCCAATTATCCCAGTCAATGAATCAATCCACCTCATAGAGGGCCTTCCTCTCCTGCATTGTCCCTCCACCCTCCCAAGCATGATGTCCCTCTCTAAGGACCGGTCTCTCCTCACAACATGTCCAAAGTATGTTAGACGGAGCCTCAGAATCCTTGCCTCCAAGGAGCCACCCGGTTTAACCCTTTCCAGGACAAATCTTTGTTTCCCTAGCAGTCCACGGTATTCTCAATACTCTTCTCCAGCACCACAGCGCAAAGGCATCAATTCTCCTTTTATCCTCCCTGGTCATTGTCCAACTCTCTGATGCATAACAAGTGATTGCGAAGACCATGGCCTGTATCAGACGCACCTTAGTCTCCAGAGAGACACCATTGCTCTTCATTAACATACACATTTAAAAAAGAAAGTAGAGGGTCAGTGAAAAGCGAGGAAGAGCTTCAAACAAGATGGATTGACATGGTGACTGCAGCAATGGGATCCAGTATGTCAGAGATGGTGAGGATGATGATGATGACACAGAGATGGTGAGGCTAGCACAGGATCACACAGGGCTCAGATCTGCTGTTCACAGAGGTATGATGAGTCATAGTTGACTCAGCAGCACATACCCCTTACCCACTCCCCCTAGTTTGCTTTTCTCTTTTAAAAAAATTGTTTCACTGTTGCACAGTTTTCTCCTCCCTCCCAGTCCACTTTGCTATGCAGCTCTTGTTCTAGACTGTTGTCATGTAAATAATACCTAACCATATATTCCTTTTAAACAGTTCTCTCTCTCTCGTTTCAATGCAGAGTACATTATTTATCCCCCCTTTTCTTAGTTTCCCCCAGCCCCCTTATCAGTCCTGTTTTATAACAGTGGCATTTGCAATATTTGTCCTTTTGTGACTGAGATATTTCACTTAGCATTACTTCCTCCAGGGTAATTTTGTATCTTATTTTACGAGTTCCTTGTTTTTCCAGTGCTGCATAGTATTCCATTGTGTGAATATACCACAGCTTCTCTATCCATTTGTTTGTTGATGGGCACCTTGGTTGTTTCCATCTTTTTGCTATCATGAACAACACAGCAATAAACACAGGTGGTTTTGTTTTTTTTCTTTTTAAAAGAGCAGTAAAAAAAAATAAATAAATAAAAGACCAGTCAAGTGCAGTAGTGAGAAGGGTAGACAAGGAGGCTGATCTGTAATTGACTTGAGCCGTAGTGGAGAGAACCCGCTCTCTTCAGATCAGCCTGCTTGTTTACTAATTTTTATTCTCCAATCCCTCCTTCCCCAATCCTGGATTTTACATGTGTAAACTTTCCATTCCTATCAAAGATTCTCTTTGTAAACCTTCCTTTAGCTTTTCATAGCAATGTATTTGTCTTTCTGTGACAGCCTTATTTCACTTACCATAAAATCTAGATGCATCCAGGTCATGCGTTCCATGAATTAATTGGAATTTTTAGTGTTACATTATTACATTATATTCATTACATGAATGTACCATTATTAATCCATTCTTCCATAGATGGACAGTGGGGTTGTTTCTTTTTGCTATTGAAAATACCACCACAGAGATTACGGGTGTGCATATAACTGTTTATATAGATAACCCTAACTCTCACCCTTTCAGAGTTCCCAGGCTTAGGTTCGGGGTTTTGTCTCTACTTTTTCATTGAAAACACACAAGGACAGGGGTCCTATCTTTTTGCTCACTACTGTATCCTCCAGGCCACAGCAGGCAACCTGTAACACAGGAGCTTGACCTTCCCACAGATGTCCTTGCCGAGTTCCTAGCGGTTGGTGTCTTCATCGAGAGCCCAGGGGTGTCCCCAGGACTGCAGCAGGAGAGGGAGCAAGGTGGCTGGCTTTGGTGGTCTCCATTTCTCACCCACCCAGAAGGCTCCAGGCCTCTGCAGGCCTGAGAGAGCAACAGATTTGGGGGTGCTCCCCTCTTTTGCCATTGTAGATTCCACCTTTGAACATCTATTGAGTTCCAGAGCGATCCGTGTGTATGTGGTATCCCTCCTTGAAGTAGTCGACACAAGACAGCCACCGGTGGTTGTTTTTCTAAACTTCCGTTTATTTTATAGCAATTGTCAAGATTAGAGAAGTAAATAACACATTTAAAAACCTCAGGGCCAAAGGATGCCAGAATATTTACAAACACATGGGATTTGGGGGTAGCGGCGAGACGTGAGGGTCTGGGGTTCCAGGGCTGGGATGCCACCGGCCTGGGGCCCTGAGCCAGGCTTGGGTGCTGAGGACAGCCACCAGGATTGTCCCTGTGGGCCACAATGCTGACTTAGGAGCAACAAGTGGCCTTGGGGCCCTGTTCAGTGGAGCCTGGTGGTGAACCCTCTACAACTAGTCCTATGACCCTACCTCCTGCCCAAAGGGTTCCCTACACCCCACAGGCCAGCTCATAGGGGCCTCTGGGAAGCACCGAAGGACAGGGGGCACAGTGAGGGACACAAGGGCTGGGCCTGCCTGAGTGGGACAGACATACACGCACACACACACATACACACTGTCCCTTCACAGAAGAATCGCAAGGGTGGGTTGATGTTTTTTTGTCGGTTTTTTTTTAGTTTTTGTCTTTTAAGTCTTTTATATCTACAGTGTTATTAGTTTTTTGCTATTTATTTTCTCTTCAACAGTGACATAAACTGAGGTAAACATCTGTGACCAACACCTCTCCCAAGGGGCAAAGGGTCCCACCCGACCAGTGAGGAGGTGGCAGTAGGGACCAGGCCTGACCTCGATGGGACAGTCCAGGCCCCAGTGTCTGTCACCCGGCTGGCCCTGCCCACCCATGGGCCTCTGAAAGAGAGGGCTGAACTACATAACTACGGTCGCTTCCCAACTCTAACATCCTAGATACTACGACAAGGGAGAGACCTCCCAAACAGGATCGTTGACAGAGAGAGGGCGCGCAGCGAGAGAGACGTTTACTGGGAAATCTCGCGTCCTTGTTATTGCAGGAGAGATCAGGATGTCGAGAGGCCTAAGGCAAAAGGAGAAGTCGAGGCTGGGAGAAGTGGGCCCGGGGCAGTGATGGGGGCCTTCTCTGAGAGCTGGCCCGGCGGGACAGGGTTTGCTACTGAGGTGGTATGTGGGACCCCAGGTGCCCGCTGGGAAAGGGGTCTGGGGTGGGAGGCGGGCACGCCGAGAAGGGCGGGGCCAGGCCGTGGGGCAACCGCACACTGTTTGTAAACTGGACCCGGGCAGGGTGGGGGGGGGACGGACGGACACGGGACCTGTAGCCCTTTTGCGCGGTGGGAACAAGGGGTGAGTGGAGCTGGGGGCTCCAGGCCTGAGGGTGGGCAGTGCCTCCTCTAGCCAGCCTGGCCCGTCAAGGAGCCCCGCTAACTGCCCCAGAACCCCCAAGGAGAACCTGGCAGGGATGGCCCGGGACTGTGGGTGGGGCCCTGCCAGGGAGGGGGTACAGCCTCGCCCGTGTTGAGGTTATTGCAGGGTCACAGGCTTCCACAGAAGTGGGGTGTGTGTATGAGGGTGTGGGGTGCTGTCTGGGGCCTGAGCCAATCTGCAGGTGCCTCCATGCCGGATTCCCTGAGGGTCGTGGTGGAACGCAGGCCTGGGTGCCCTCCTGGCAGCAGCTGAGTGTCAGAACCTGGGGCTGGGCGAGGCGCACCACTCCGCTGTGTCCTCTGTACCCTCAAAGTCACGAAACACTGCACCTCATAGCCCAGATCCCCCTCATAACACAGAGGGAGCTCCTGTCACTGCCGGGGATTTGAGAGATGTGGGGCCTGCGGGCTCAGCTCCAGTTTTGGAGGGGTGTCCCACCCCTGGAAAATTTCCTGGCACAATCACGTCCCTGCCTGCCAGACGCCCGGGCCTCTGTGCCCAGAAAGGGCAAGGGGGGGCGGGGCAGCCTGGGAGAGCCCTGAGCTGGGCGACAGTGGCTCTATGCCCACTCCTCCCGCCTTGGGGATGCAGGACCGCCTGAGGCCCCTGCCTGGGAGCCCTTGTGTGCACCGAGTTGTGGGGACAAGGGGGTAATCCGTGCTGGCGGTGTCTCCAGACCTCCACTCTGAGGCTATGGCCCTCCTTGACGAGGCTTCAGGTGGGCTGCGGTCGCCACTGGGCCCTCGCCTACACGCGGATGTGGTCACCCAGACATCTGCTCATTTTGGGGGGCTGGGGACGTGCTCCTACTCTGACAAGAGGCAGGCCAAGGGGGACACCCCGGGGGCCCTAGGCCTTTCTGCATTGCCCAGTCCTTGAGTCCTTTTCAATGCCCAGGGTGGGGAGCAGAGGGGCCCGGGGTGGGACTGCAGAAGGGTCTGCCTAAGGGGTGCGTATGACCAGGCCAACCAGCCAGGGGAGGTGTTGGGGAGTTTACTCCCGCAAGCTCCCACGCTCCTGGCGTGTATGGGGGGCTCAGAATCCTCGGGCCTGTGGAGCTCAGCTCCTGGGGGCCAACCCCCGTCTGCCAGGCCGGGGTGCCAATTTCGATCCCTGGCAGCCCCAGCCCGCGGCGGCTCCGCGGCTCTACCTACTTCTACCTACCAGTCCCCCTCCCGCCGCGGGGGCGGCCGATCGGCCGAGCTCCCGCCGCTGCTGCCGCTGCTGGAGCAGGCTCCCAGAGAGGCCAAGGGCGGCTCCCGGCTGCTGCACAGCACTCCGGCCCAAGGGCGCGGGGCGGCTCAGACGCAGATCTCGATGGCTGTGGCCAACACCACCTGCCCTTTACTCTTGTCCGGACGGCCGTCGGTCCTGCCCGCGGGCCCCGGGGGAGCCAGGCCGGCCTC